TCAGAGGCTGGAGGATTACACCTACCGTAGCCCATAATTCCAATCAATCACACTCAAGATGAAAATCCACAAGAGAACCCCAGCTGTGAAGCTCAGTAACACAAGGAAGAGCAGACTCACAATCACTGCAATGAACAGCCCACTAGAAAGACAAGAAACAGAAACACAGAGAAAACAAGTGTGAGACTCTTTTTTGCATGTGTCTTACTCCAAATGAGGGTCACTTCATCTCATGTAGGAAAATGGTTTGTAAAAATGGATTTCAAAATCTTCCTCACAAAATATTTCCTCATGGCTCTCTGCTGTTAGAAACAGATTATATATGACGGTCACACAGGACACAGCCAGAAATGTTTGCACACACCAAGTACTCAGGGCATCTGAATGGGACCAGTACAGGTCTGGTTTAGTCATGTACACTGGCTGACCAACTCATTGCCTTTTGCAGGCCATGGCCTACTCTACAGCACAGAAAGTTAAACTGGAGAAACACCTGCGTGTGCAGAGGTTGCTGGTTTATGTCCTCCATTTAAAATTCCTTCTTGCAAAGAAACAATATTAAGAAAGAAACATTTGAGGAGCTTTCCTAGAAAGAAAGAATTCATTTTAGGAGGAAAACCAGTGACTCTTTCTACCCATCGGAGAAGAAACTGATCAGGGCATAGTGGTGCATAAAAAGAAACTTTTAAGAGCCATCAGTGGGACCCCTAGGAAGGACATCTACAGTGCTTTTATCAAGTCTGCGGTAAGGAAACATTTGCTTTCATTTCACTCCCAGAAAGTGAGTCAGAAAGGAAAGAATGACTGCAAAAAGACTTTTTACTCAGGGGGTTCCTTCTAAAGCAATGTGAATAAAGCAGTGTGAACAATGGTTCCATCCAACAAAGATCCAGCTCAGACACTTCACAGAACATTTCATTTCTCAGAATTTTGAGGTGTTACATCAGAATTTTGTATTAGAACAGACTCAAAAGAAATGAAACCCTTTTCTTGCCTGTGGTCAGGAACTGCTCTTCTGAACGTTCCCAGTTTATTTAGCCAGTGACTAAAGATAACAAATGGGTCAGCCTGACCACAAACAATCAAAACTGGATGTTTTGGACAAACTAAGCCAGATGGGTAGAGGGACAAGAAAAAGAACATCTGTTTATTTAGTTGAACCTTTGGAAACTGGTCTTGGGTCCTAGTCCTTTAAATGCTTCCCAGCACAATGTGTTTTCCCTTTCTGAATGGCTTGTTTGAAATTCAGAAGTATTCCTAAAAAAAAAAAAAAAAAGCTGTCATTTTGGAGTTCCTGACTCTGTTCTTTAAAGCAGTAAGTTACCTTTATCTACAGTAAGCTTCAGATTTACATGAGTCCTAGTAACACCAAACAAATACACAGTAACACCTGTCCTTAATAGAGTGGTTCCCTTAAACTGAGCCTTGAAAGCAGGAGTTCTTCGGGAGTAAGATATAAAGAACAGAGCAATTGCATATTTGATTTTTAATCCTGCCTCCTTTTACCATCATGGCCTTCACTCTCATCACCCAAACTCTGGCACTTTAATAAGTTTGCCCAGAAACTACTGGATGCATGCTGTCACATGCATGCTGTCACAACTCCTTATAAAAGTATCCTATTTGAAATGTGGAAACTGGCTTCAGTATTGAGAAACTCTCTTCACAAAATGGTCAATTCTCTCTCCAGCCCATCTGTTGAGCAGTATCTTCCTTGAAAGAATCTGCACTATAAGCCTGATTTCAGTAAGGGATCTAGAGAGAACGGCCATTTATACACATATACTTATGTGTTAGTTTCAGCAAAATAGCTACTTCTTTTGTTTTGGTGCTGCATTTTTACTAATTGCTGATTATTGAGTAATAGTTGCAAGATAAAGCTAACTCTGATCAGTAGTTTTTGATCTTTAGGTTGCTTTGCCTGCTGCACTGGATTTATGGAGTTATATTGGATTTATGTATTACAATGAATTTAACTACATATTGCTGATACCAGTTTGGAAATTGGTATTTGTTTTATATGGATACTAATGACATTTAGCAATTGCAATTGGTTTAAAAGTCTCAAAAGATTTTTTAGCTTTGGAACTACCACACAGATGGGTCCTGCAACAGAAGACAGCAGGTTTCTCCTGGGCTCCTGCCTGGTAGGATACTAAAAAGCTACTCCAGACCATACTGTATGCACATATGCTGTGCTATCCTTATCTCATGTACAGAACCATAACAACATTACAGCAGAGTTTAAAACTAGGTTTGGTAACAAACATGTACGTGATCTATTTCTCTGTTCCCTACAACACACTCCAAAGTGAGTTTGAAAAAACATAAAAATACCCATTAGAATCTTACATTAAAATCCAGTACCAAGAAATGGCATAGTCTTTTTACTCAATTTTTACTCCAATTGATCCTGCATCCAGGACATTATTGATGATTGAGAAAAGACAAACCAGAACAAAGGTTGCTTTAGCTAGAAAAGCAAAATGTACTTAAACAAACAAATAGGCATAGTGAAGAAATCTGAAATATCTTTTCTAATGGCGAGTATATCACTATCCTCCAGCTTCAGTTCCATAACCAAGCCAACATCAACCATCGTGACCCCAAAACAACTGTAAAAATGCCCATACAGCTCCTGAAAAACCTTTATTAAAAAAGCTGTGTGAGTTCTCACTCTCACCAGATAGAACTGACCCTTATGTCACAAGTGCATACTGTTCAGATGTGCGGTGCACCAAGAGCCAAATAGTTGTCACTCCTGAACTGCTAATAGCAGAAAAGCAGAAAACAGCTCAGTGAAGCAAAAGGAGGACTTCTTGGAGTTGTTTTCCTATCCTGGAAAGTGCTTGCCCATATTAATGTTTTCCTAACATTAGAAGAAATTAAGAATCTTCTTATCAAAGGACAGACAATATAGTCGTAGATGCCAGAAGAAGGAAACTTTGTAAGCTGTGGGCATTCTCACTGCTGGTAAGGTGCTAGAATGTGGTAGCCTCAGACAGAGAGGTAAGAAAAGGTACCCCTGTGCTCCAGACAGGCTGAGGATGGAGAGCAGCTGGAAAAGGGAGGCTACTGATGTCGTTTTCTCTCATCCTGGTTGCTACCCAGGACTGGAGATGCTTGCTGTCCATCTGCAAGGGAGGTGCTGTCTGGCATCAGAGCCCAGAACATTTCCTTTGGACCTTTATAGACATGTGCTAAAAACAGGAGCATGCTAAGGAGGTGAAATGCCAAAGTACTAGGACAGTTCACAGTAGTAGAAAGGCTGTTGTAGGAAGGTAGAGCTGAGGCCATTACTGGCTGGCCCAAGTCCTGCTGCATGAGGACTTCAATTTGAACATCCTTTAACTTTCCTCGGTACTAATTTCTTCTAGGAAAACCAAGTAGAATGTTTTAAAAACTGACAGTCATTCTGAGGCACACTAAAGATTTTGGCTCCTTGCTCCTTTCTGCATACCACAGTGGTGGTTTTCCCTACTGGAACTTTGCAAGTGCTCTGGCACAGAAACCATCTACTAGCAAGTCTTGTCTGAGTACCCTCAGCCATTTGCTGCAACAGATTCTGATCTTTTTTTTCAATGCCTAAATTATTTCACAGTCTCAGAATCCAACACACAAGCACTAAAGAAGGGTACAACCTACTTTGCAGCTTCCCCAAGATCGGTTATGTTTCTTGTTTTCCCTTTTCCATCTTTGAACATAGTCTGATTTGCCATGGTTAGCGCACCATTCTTTGTGGAGAAGCCCGGGAAGCATCTCTTCAGAGCTATTCAAAATACCAAAAGAAAGCAGAAATGTTAGACTTCACGTCAAGTGAGTTCCACTTTTGTCGCTTGTCTTTTGTGACATATTTAAACAATTTCAGAGTCAAGATGAATTGCTTTTCAGCTGATTATCTAATGGAATGTTGAATTTGAGAACTCTTGCAAGAGCCATTCTATTCAAAATTAGGATTTTTATGCTCAGGCATGGTGGGATCACCACTTTCAACTGGAGATACTAGGTGCTACCGAATAACAACAGTAGGATATGTAGCAGTTTAAGAACTCGTAATAAATGCAGAGCTTACCCTCTGTCAGTATCTTGGCAGCCAGCAAAAACTGCAGCTTCTTCTTCACAAAAGGTATTAGCACCCAAAACAATACATAACGGCAAGTGTCAGCTCCTCATATGCCAGGTGAGCTTCAGCAGTGGCCACTATCACTAGGCATTCTTGGAGAGGAAGCAACGGAAAAGAGACAGAAACTATTGGTTAGACAGAGGAAGGAGGAGATTATAAAAGAGGGAGACAAGGACAGAAGTTGACATACTCATTTACGTTACCCTGCTCTTTGCTGCACCAAGTCCTTGGTTACATTCCAAAGGGAAGAGCAGGTCAGCCCTCCTGCACACCTGTACTTCACCTTTATGTAACGGTTCTGCACTTTCTGTATCAGGTTCCAATTAGCGCTGATGCCTGGGCTCAATATTCAGTCTGCAGTATCTACCCCCCCCCCCCCCCAAGTTATTCTCAGAAAATAATTAACTAACATGTCTCTTTTCCTCCCTCTCTAATCTTCACCTCTGGCTGTAGTCTAAAAGAACATAATAGCTTCTTTGAAAATGATTTCCTGTCTTTTGCATCAGTACATCATTTTTCATACAGATTTTTATTTTTTTATCATTTCACCCATTATTTTCTCTTTTTGACAGCCTGTGCCTGGCTTACACAATCTATGTTTTAAAGCATGGAAAAATAAACAGCAGTTCCTTATTTGCAGGAGTTTCTAGGCCAGTGACAGATACTCTTGAGCTCTGACACTTGGGGTTGTCTACTCAGAAACGCCTGCTGACCACAGTGACAAAACCAGCTTTTTGTTCCCTTAATTCCTCTGCCTTCTTGCATAGGCAGCACTGTGCTGTAACTGTGCTCAAGTACCACCTGAACTTCAAGAGCTGCCCAGATGAGCCTTCCTACAGTCATGTCATTTCCTTCATGCCAACAGCTTGGCTTGGGCTGGGTTGGGTGCTCACATGTTTTAGAAGGCACAGTTTGCGCTGTAAAGCATTTCTTATCAGTGATAATTTAAGAGCAAGAAAGAGCTCAGTTTGACCCAATCACACTCTGAGTGTCCATGGATGGCTCTCTAGAAAAAATAATACTAAATCTTTATACTTTCAAATTGTTTAAAACTGAATGGGTACCACTGCTAGGTAACAGTCAGTGCCTTGTGATCTTGTCACAAAACACTTTTCAGACTGGAGCTGTGCTCTCATGTGAACACTTCCAATCTGCTAAGATGTGTGTAAGAAATAGAACCACTCACAAGGCCTGCTTGGAATGATCATCAAAGGACAATCTTCATCATGAAGGACTTGAGCAGCAGACTAAAAAGGGGAAATATCGGAATGTTGAATACACAGCAGAATAACTTAATTTTGTTTCTTACACACTCTGAGAAAATGCCCCAAAATGGACTCTGTAGCCTCCTTCCCAAACTTGACTGGTGGAGCTGCAAGACACATTCATGATGTGAGAATCCAACCTCTCTCAATGTGATTTGGGAAGAGACTATTCTTTACTTTTCTAGTGACAGAAAAGACCTGTTCACTTTGGATCGGCAGGTGAGGCAGCAATGACTGGGTGATCGTTGCTCGCTTCCCCCGTGCTTTTCTCTTAGAGTAAGAATTTAACACAACTAACATAGCTGAATTGCAAGGTGGTTTAGAGATAGGAGAAATAACACAGTACATTTGAGTCCAAAATCACTTCCATGAAAGACAGACTTCTTTTCCTAGCTGAATTACTGAGGAGCTCTATATGACTCAGGAGCCTTAAGAACTGGTTTGAGACACTCTGCTCTACTGCTATGGAGTACTTAAGTACTAAAGGACACTTGCCACAGTGCTGCAACCACATGGAAGTATTCCATCACCTCCTGATACATACAGACCTTGTGAGGACTGTTACCATGGGGCTTGCAGAACTGCTTGAAGTAATTCCACTGATCACGTTTGTATCTGTAGGACGCCTGAACATCAGTGTACGTCACAAACCTGCCTGGGCTCTTTGAAACACAAAGCTGCAAGAAAAAAAGGGTTTGAAATACCATGACTTCAAAAGGCACACTCTGTGCTTAAAGACAACATCACCTTTGGGAGACAGACACTCTCTGTGGTAAAAAAGAACGCTATCTTTGTACAATCTACGAAACTAAGCAGCTGCAAACTGCTGCTGTAGTTAAACAGTAAGGTGGGGTACCACATGTCTACCGGAGAGTTCTGTAATCAAACCTTAAGAGGACATAAATAAATAAAGAAGAGGAAGGGGCCTGCTGGACACCTGCACAGACAACACACGGCCGGGAGCCTGTCCACAGAGCACCAGGACAGTCTAGAAACAAGAGACTTCCCCAGAAACATTCCCCTGGAACATATTCAATTCATCCTCAAATAACCTCCTGTGACACTACACTCATTTTCAGCTGCACGCAGTGACTACTCAAGTCATACATATTTTGTCCTGTAGGGTGCTGTATACATAGGCTGCGTACTGGGCCATCCACAGCTGTCTCATACATTAAAAGCACTAGGATTTAAAAGGTATTTGTAAAGCTTTAATGAGAGAAACTCCGTTTAATCTTTAGATGTGAGACAAGGGGGACACAAAGTCACGAAATGAAATATATAAACCTTTAGAATCAGTTTTAAGTAATGTTAAGTTTGATGGCTTTGTAACAGTAGCAATGGAAAATTACTGAGGTGAATGATTCAGAGAGTAAAAAAATAGAGTACAGCTAGAGAACATACTGAGAATTCTTGTATAAGATAAACTGTTGTAGTTGATGTAGTTATGACCTTAGTACAAAATGAGTGTAAGAAAAACAGGATAGAAAAAAGGGGATGTAAGGATAAGGAGTATCTGGGAATAGCAGGTGTCCAGGATGGGCTGCAGTTAAACTAACTGATAAGCAGGACAGGATGATTGTTGTGTCTGTGGTGTTAACGAGACAATTAAGCTAGTATAAACATCTACTGCAGGTGCTTCAAAGGCTGCCAGAAATACTGAAGATTGTTGGAAGAAGTAAATGACCCTCAGAGGCCACCACCACATTTTTGTATGAATGTGGGGAAACTTTCTAGAAGAATGATGTAATCTATACGTAGCCCCATGAATATGTATGTATACCCAGTGGCTATATGAGGACAGCTCGTGTAGCAATACTGGGACACATGTTAGGAGGAGCTATCCCCTGTGTCTCCGGGTGCAGCAATAAAGAATACCTGCTTGTCAACTTGAAAACTTTGTTGGCAAGTTTTTTTCTGGAGTTTTTCTCCGAATCAGAGAGCTGTAAGGCTGGGAGGATAGACAGTGGGTAGGAGGGTATGTGCTTAGTGATATATATCTAAGGAAGATGAAAATATCTAAGTAACAGTCAGTGTAACTGTTCTGAGTTCTGGCTTTTTTAATGTTGAGGCTCTCACTGCGTCCAGGAGCTTAAGGACTGATGGGGGCTGATCATGGGGAGTAGGGAAAAGCAAGTCTTTCAGCTCTCTTTGATTAGATGAATAATGGAGAAGGTCAAAACCAAGAAGTGTCTTGCTTGCCACAAAGCCTCCAGAAGTCCCTTTTGATCCTGCAAATTCAGCAGGCTTTGGGTTGCCCCTGGGCTGAAGAGGTGCTCCAGAGCAGGGAATGACAGAACTGCACATAGGTTTTCCTGGAACTAAATGGGACCAACTGTCTACAGATACACACACACATTCCCTCTCTCAGCTCACACTTTGCCTCACCCCTTGAACAACATACCCCTTGTGCACAGGCTGTTCCCAAAGGGGAGAGAGCCAGCTCCCTTGTCTTCCTTTTATCCCTGATGCACCTATGGAAGCTTTTCTTGTTGCCCTTGACATCCCTGGCCAGATTGAGTTCTGTCAGGACTTCAGCTTTCCTATCCTGATCCCTGGCTGCTCAGACAATTTTTCTATATTCTTTCCATGCTACCCATCATTGCTTCCACCCTCTGTAGGCCTCCTTTTTATGCTGGAGTTTGCTCAGGAGCTCCTTGTTCATCCACACAGGCATCTTGGTGTTCTTGCCTGACTTCCTCTTTATCAGGATATATGACAAATATATACAGGAAGAATGGACTTGATAGGAAAATTGTGAGGCTGTGAAAGATGAAACTGGAATTTGGACTGTTGGAGGAAAACATATTTACTGAGAAAATATGTAATCACTTTGGCTAGGCGGTTTCATGATAAAACACATGGAGAAATGGCAGCAATTGCCAACTGGATTGAAAGAATGCAGACAGCCTCTGGAATATATGTGGTAGTAAAAAGAATTGTGAGTTCTTGTCCCACATATTTGAAGTTTTTCAATGCAAAGCCCATACTGGAGTCTGGAGGATGACCATGGGCATACTTCCTATTTCAAAGACTGCAAATTGATTATGCTGACATGCCTCATGTGAGTGGACTTAAGCACCTGCTGGTAAACATGGATCAAGTGTTAGGATTGATAGAAGAAGCTTTTCCTGCCAGGAAGGCTGATGCTGTGAGAATGTTCAAAGCACTTTTGTGGGAAATCTTTCCCAGGTATGGGATACCTGTCCATAGTCCTCAGGACAGGTGGAAAGAATGTACAGAACTGTTAAAAATAAAATTGCTTGAACATGTAGTCAAGTAGGTTTTAACTGGCCTGAACTTTTAGGAATATTGCTATTCTTCTACGCTACTCTAATACTGCTATTAGAAATGCTCCTCGTTAACCTCTAAGGTTGTCATCAGCAGAAATAGTGTTTGGCAGGCATTTAGCTATACCTGGAAAGCCTTATCCCAGATAAGACCAGCCTCTTAGATGGAGACAAATGTGTTATCAGATTTGCACTGGGGATACAAAACCATCTGCAGTAGAATAGTTCACAAACCCAACAGTTTCAACCAGTACCAGCAATAATGCAAGTATGTGACAGTCTGGGGATACAGTGACGATAAAAATCCACACTTGCAAAGCAAAGTTGAACCCTAAATAGGAGGGTCTGTATACTGTGTTATTAGCATTTTACTTGGCTTTAAAATTTACAGGGAAAGAGAATTGGATTCATCACTCACACATTAAATTAATTCCTAAATGAATAACCACCTGCCATGCAGATCCCTACCAATAGTTCCAAGGGAGATTAAAGCTGGGACCATTCAAATTTCCTAAGGAGGAAGGAATTCTGGAACCATGTTGCTTTGTTTCCTTTCTAGAGCTGCCTGAAATCATCACCAGATACAAAGTAAGACCAGGGAGACAGTTCACTTTTATGTCTCTAAGAAGTCCCACTCTAAGTTTCAGAAATCTACAGAAAATCTGCTTCAGCATTCAGTGTGAGCATTTGTGGGTTTTAATACTGTAGCAAGACAGATAATTTAGTTATACCTAAAATTCAATGCCTTAAATGGAGGAAAGGTATAGTAGGTACCTATATATAAACTAAAGAAAAATAGTCTGAGAAAAGATAATCTCTCTGATTTAGTCTAAGCATCCATTAAAAATACAAGAATTTCTATATGGCTACGCATTTGTGCAAAAGTCATCCGTCAGTTACTGTATCTCTATAATTTTTATATGTTGGTCAGACTCGCTTACAAAACCAGCGGTATAATGTTCATAATCACAAACCTTTTCCTTCCCTGGCAAACTGGTATAGTTCTGCTGAAATCAAGGTTGCTATAATGTTTCATCCAAATATGCCTTGGTCCTGATAATAATAAAGAACTAAAATTTGTGACACCATTGTTCAATTATAAAAACTAGACCTTGCTATGACCTGTAGGAAACAAGTATTTCTTCTGTTTTGCAAGAAATTCTTAACAGATGCGGTTTTGACATAGGAAGATGATTTAAATGGACACTTCCAAGATTATGTTAATTCACTTATCAGGTAACATGAAATTAGAAGAAGCAAATCCTAGAAATACCTTGTTTCCGGTTGGCCATAAAAGGTGGCTAAAAAGGTGGCAACAGAAAGATGGTGACATTGAAGAAATCTTACGCATAATCCACCCTAAATTTAGGGAATAAAGACACCTTTCACAGACATCCACATCAGGGTGCCAAATACAACACAAGACATTCGGGAAGCCTGACTACAAGTAGTGTTCCAAGGGATCAGTATTGGGGCAAGTTATCTTTAACATCTGGACCTGGATGAGGGGATCCAGTGTACCCTCAGTAAGTGTGGAAACTTACAAACAGCCCCCTACCACCTTTGTTCATTTGCTGAACAAAGACTGACAATATCAAGGAGGCAGAAGTTGTGACCTCTGCTACAACAGAGTAGTTCTCAGCTTCCACATAGAAAATGCTTCCAGGGTCCTCTCCCAAGATACCAACCTCTCATGATACATCCAGACTTTTCTCCAGAACTATACTACCTTCAGCGAGCTGGTGGAAGTTATTGCCGAATGGGAGGGCAGCTCTACACAGCTCAACACAGACTAACAGCACCTGCTTCAAATGGTTTTACAAATGATGGGTAACAATGAAACTGATGTCATCTATGGGAGCTGCAGATGTGTGTAAAATGAAAATTAAAACATTCAAGTTTTCACTAAGAACAGTGCCTTTACTCAGGGTTTGGATGGGCTTGGAGAGGTATTTACCAGCTGCAAATGAAAGCTGGAGCACTACTGAATTATTCGCACTAATTGCAGGAAATGGTCTTTGTCCACACCCCTGGCCCACCTCTGCTCCTGTTGCTTTGACACAGTACCAGATTCTATCAGCAGCTCATCAGCATGGCCAGGCCATGGAGATCTGGGAGGTGACAAAGAGGCATGGGGCCAGTGCACAGCCTGGGGGCATGGGGAGCACAGGCCTGCAGCTGGGCTGTGGGAATAGGGTTTGCCTTCCCTGCAGGAAAAATATCCACGTCAGGGACAATCCCCCAGTTAAACAGCAGATCAGAGCAGAGACGTATACCTATGCCATGCTGGGCATGCCTTCGCCTATGTGGCCTACAATGGCCAGGACTTCCTCAGCTTTGACACGGACAATGCCACCTGGGTCGTCTCCCAAGACACCAGCCTCTCACGGTACGTCCAGGCTTCTCTCCAGAACTATACCGCCTTCAGTGAGCTAGTGGAAGTCCTCTTCAACGAGGCCCACACGCCACATGCACCACAACTCTAGAAGGGCTTATTCTCCCCTGGCCAAACCCTGTGAACCACAGTGCTGTGGGCATGACTGAATTTTCCTGACAGCCGGAGTCATCTGTTGATTCATGACATGTGCGGGGCTCAAGAGCCTCACTGGAGGAGGAGTGATGCTGAGTCTCTCTGAGCCCTTGCTGAACTAGGACACACAGATGAAACTTCAAGCTGCTCACAGGTCTCACCTCCGGGCTGAGACCCTACAAGAGACCCTACAAATACACACACAGAAGCCCCAAGCATTTCAAGAGGGTATTGAGGTGTTTCAGCCTGGACAGGGGGGTGCTGGTGCCCTCACACTCAGTGCAGCACCCAGAGGCACTTCAGCCCTGCACACTGTGCCCCAACTCACCCAGCACAGCTCTGGGACTAGGAGGGGTTACAGCCCTCACTTGAGAGTGGACTGCAAGGACCACTGGCAACCTGAGGGGACTGCAAGGACCGGTGTTACCAGTGGGGTCTGAGAGGAGGAGTAGTTACATGAGGTGGAACTGTAAAGTCCTATAGGGACTTGGTGGGGGTGGACCTGCGGTCACCTGGGAAGACTGTAAGAACCAACTAACAAAGGGAGTGACAATATCAAGGAGGCAGCAGTTGTGACCTCTGCTACAGCAGGTAAGGAAGTGGAGGGAAAAAAAAACATGAGGTCAAGCACATTCGATAGAGAAAAGGAAGAGCCAAAGCAAAATTTCCCCCACTTCCCTCATTTCCCCCATGGCTGTGCTTTGCCATCCCACCAGCCAAGCAGCCTCCTCTGACCCCAGCAACTGGTGGCCCTACTGGCAGGGATGTGGCCATTGTGGTGGCATGGCTGGACATCCCCTGGGGGTGCCGAGGTGAGCTGCTGGGGAAGTTGGTGCCATTTCTGGGCCTGCCAGGCCACCACAGCATGCCAACTTCTCTGTGGGACAGCTCCATAGAAGGGAAGGGGTTCGGTGTCCTTGTCTCTCCAAGCCTGACTCAGTGTCTTGGGGTGTTGGAAGTCAGCCCACAGCAGCCCCATATGGGCCTTCCCCATGTTCCCACCACAGCTTAGGACACCTGAGATGGAGACATGCAGCAGGCTTGAACCAAGTTGTGCTTGGGTCTCATGGCATCCTGCCACATTGCAGAGGGGACACCTCAGCCCTGCTGGTGTTTGGAAGTTATCAGTGCAACCCCTCAAACTTCCCCTTGGCTGTGGATTCAGTTCTGCCTTTGCCCCCCAACATGAGCACTCCCAAGAAAGGGGAAGAGAAACTGTAGGGTGAGGAGAGATGCCACAAGACAGCCAACGAGGAGCAGTGAATAAGGGACGTTGTGCGGGTGAGGCCAGCTCTAGTCACCCCATTGTCCTTCCAGTGCTGGACAGTGGTGACAGTGGAGACAGAGCAGGGAGATGATCCCCGCCATTCCTGCTCCCATGCTTAGGGGGCACTTGAGGAGGGGGACAGGGTTCCCCACTGAAGTGGGTGGGAAGAAAGGGGAGTGCCAGGCTGCAGCCCAGCCCCAGGCACTCTCTTGGAAGCGTCTATGGGAGAGTCTGGGCTCCCCAGCACTGCGAGGTGCGGCAAAGGGGAGAGGCAGCTCCCAGGCCCCATGGCTTGCGTGGTGTTCCATAGAAATAGGGAGGCTGCTCATCACAGCAGGCCCCTGGAATGGGCTTTGGAGTGGGGGTGAACCATGGTCCCATCCCTGTCCCAGCTTGAGGATCCTGCCCAGCCAAGTGCCGCCACTCCACATGCTGTCCAATGTCTGTCCAGTGGGAAACAGCCCCTTCCAGGCCCCACAGCCCATCTCTGCCCTTGAGGACCATCGCACTACAGCTCCTCCAGCCCATCGACTGCCTGTGCCCCAAGAGGAACTCCTGGAGCAGATGTCTCCTCCAGCCCTGTCTGCACCATCCCTGATGTCGTGGCCACAGCCCACACTGGAGCTGCTCATGACCACCTGCCTGGGAAGCCCCTTCCCCCGGATCAGGACAGTGGTGCTGAGGGGTCAGGGGATATCATCAGCTCTCCCCATTCTCATCCCCCAGAGCCATTCATGGCCACAGTCTTTGTCCACACCCCTGGCCCACCTCTGCTCCTGTTGCTTTGACACAGTACCAGCTTCTATCAGCAGCTCATCAGCACGGCCAGGCCATGGAGATCTGGGAGGTGACAAAGAGGCATGGGGCCAGTGCACAGCCTGGGGGCATGGGGAGCACAGGCCTGCAGCTGGGCTGTGAGAATACGGTTTGCCTTCCCGGCAGGAAAAATATCCACGTCAGGGCCAATCCCCCAGTTAAGTAGCAGATCAGAGTAGAGACGTATATCTGCGCCATGCAGGGCCAGGCATGCCGGGCATAAGTGGCACCGAGGGGCACTCCTGTCAGGGACAGTGGATGAAGCCGATGGCCAGGTGGCACGTCCACCTACAACGGGGATAGAAAAGAGGGATCAGTTCACCCACGCTGCCCTGATTGTCAAGGTGCTGCTGCAGACGTGAGGGACCCCTTCCCACAGTCAGTGGGATGGCCTCATTGCCACCCAGGTCCCAACAGAACTCAAGCCATAGACCAGCCCACCCCAAGCAGGAACCTCAGGGCCCTCCCCAAGACCTCATTGCCAGACCCATTGGCTGCCAGGACCACTAGCATCAGCAGACCTGCCCAGGCGGAGCCATGCTAAGGAGAAGTGTGTAGCCACATCTCTCACAGTCCCTTTCTCCTGCCACTGCTCTCAATACTGCATGCTCAGGGCCTCGCTGCTGGCTCCATGCAGCCCTGTTGCTGCTGCCTCTTCCTCCTCTGCGTCTTCCACCTCTCTGGGACATGGGCAGACCTGGATGGTAAGTGACAGCTCTGGCTCATCCACACCTGCTCCCATGCCCCTTTGGGACCCCATGGACAACAGGCTTTCTGCTCCCCGCCTGCCTTGGGCACTTTCCTCCTCACCCCTTCCTGCTCCACGCACCTCCTGCAGCAATACACCCACCAGAGGTACATGCAGGGGGTGGGAGCTCTACCTGGCAAGGATGCAGGGGGTTTATGCAAGGCCTGCAGGTTCCTGCAACCCTGACAACCCATCCCTTAGCCCCCACACTTTTCCCAGCCCTCTACTCCCACTCCCGTTTCCCCCTGAGGCTCCTTTCTCATGTAGGGTCCATCACTGTTCGGCTGCTCCAGACCTCCTTTTTCCAAAACGCATCCTTTGTGGATACAGAGGGGCTGGGACTGCTGCAAGATATCGAGCTTGGTTCTCTTGATAAGCACACCTGGTCCATCCGCTTCTACCAGCCCTGGGTGCACCCAGCCCTGCCCCGCAGTGACTGGGACACCATTCAGAACATGATCAGGATCTATTTGCAGCAGTTCATCCACCTGATCAGCGAAGGTGCAATTGAGAAGAATGTGCCCTGTGAGTATCGAGTCTTCTCTGCTCCCCTTCTCTGAACAGCACCGGGGAAATGAGATGGATCTGGCTGTGCTCAAGCTGCACGGGAGATAGTGGCCACATCCAGAGGAAGGCAGTTCCCAGCCCCTCATACAACCTCTCTCTCCTTTCTGCCCCTCCAGACCCGTTTGTGGCCCAGTGCATGGCAGGCTGTGAGATGTACCCCAACAGGACCTCGCGAGCCTTCGCCTATGTGGCCTACAATGGCCAGGACTTCCTCAGCTTTGACATGGACAATGCCACCTGGGTTGTCTCCCAAGACACCAGCCTCTCACGGTACGTCCAGGCTTCTCTCCAGAACTATACCGCCTTCAGTGAGCTAGTGGAAGTCTTCTTCAACGAGACCTGCGTTGATGACATGGAAGTGTTAGTGCACTATGGGAAGGCAGCTCTGGAGAGACAAGGTGAGACCACCCTGACCCTGGCACCCTGGCACGGCCACCACAAAGCCCCACACACACACTGCAAACAAGCGTTGTTCCACCAGGGCTCCCCCAACCCCTTTGCTCTTGCCCTCCAGAGCCTCCCCTGGCCACAGTCTTCGCCCACACGCCCAGCCCAGCCCAGCTCCTGCTGGTTTGCCGTGTCACCGGCTTCTACCCACGGTCCATCAGCGTGGCGTGGCTGCGGGATGGCCAGGAGGTGCCACCAGGCCCGGCTCTCAACACCAGTGCCATCCTGCCCAATGCTGACCTCACCTACCAGCTCCGCAGCGTCCTGGCTGTGTTTCCCCATGACGGGCACAGCTACGCCTGCCGTGTGCGCCACCGCAGCCTGGGCACCCGCACCCTCCTCATCCCGTGGGGTAGGTAACACCCATGGGGACAGGGATGGGGGTCCTGGGCCACCCTGTTCCACGGGATGGAACAAAGCGGGGAAAGCTCATGGCAGTGTCTGCTTGTGTTTCCCAGGGAATGCAGAGATTGTCCTGATCGCAGGGCTCGGGGCTGGGCTGCTGGCAGCCTTGGTGGCGGCAGCTGTCATAGCACATTGGGTGTGGAGATGCAGGTGAGGCCACTTTTTGCCCCACAGAGCAGCACTGGGAGAGGAGTGGAGGAAATGCCCCAGTGGACTGCTGTACTTAGCACTGACGCTCCTGCTGTGGCTCTACTAGCCATTGTCCACACCCCACAAGGTCTCTTCCATGGAGTACCCATGAGTCTTCTCCCTCTCGTTTCAGAAAACACCAGCAGATGGAAGTATCCGAGTCCAGGAACTCCATCCTGAGCAAAGAAGCTTAGCCCTGAAGGGAGCCAACAGCCCCTCCCTCCTTCCACCACACTCCCAGGGACAGAAACTCTACCTTCTAGTGCTTTGACAACATTTGGAGCACTTCCAAGTGTAAGATCAACTTGGCTCAGAGGCACAGGGGGGAAGGCCTGGGGGGACTTGTTACCCAATTCAATTTGCTAAGCAGACAAGTATACGAATCTAAGACCTTCTCACTCATTGCGCACAATCATCTCTTACCTTGTGGCACCGCGCGTGCACCCACTGAAGCTCTTTACGGCACCCCATTGCCCAGTGGCAATTTCTCCCAGTTCTGGTACAATAACACATTCATCAGTAAGCAGTAAGGTGTGCCCTTCTACTATTGCTTTCTAGTATTTCCTTTTCCTGAAAGCTGCTTTTATTAACCATATTCCAGAAGTATTTGTGCTGAGACTGAACTGTTCTACACAGACTAACAGCACCTGCTGCAAAGGATTTTACAAAGTGCTGGGTAACACTGAAACTCTGATGTCATCCATGGGAGCTGCAGATGTGTGTAAAATGAAAATTAAAACATTCATGTTTTCACTAAGAACAGGTGCTTTACATCGGGGTTTGGATGGGCTTGGAGAGGTTTTTACCAGCTGCAAATGGAAGCTGGAGCACTACTGAATTATTGGTGCTAATTGCAGGACATGCCAAAGCAAGGAAAGAGAAAAAAAAAAAAAGGGTGTGTTTGGATATACAAACACATTCTTACATATGCCATGGAGATAAACAACTGTGCACATGGGTATAAGGTGCCCCAAGCCTCCCAGTTAAGGAGAAAAGGGAGCCAGCCTCCGAATGGGGACAACGGAGTTCAGAAAGGCATGAAAAGGAATTTAGTTTGCGCGCCCAATCAACCACAGGCTTGAACGTGCTGTTTCAAAGGGTTTGGTTTCATATGGCAACTTCCTGGCAAATTTTCAAGGGACAAGTCTCTGGCAGCCACGTGTGAGCCGACTATTAGCTGAAGCAGAAGAAAACCCAGCTGGCCTGTGGCCACATGCACCACAACTCTAGAAGGGCTTATTCTCCCCTGGCCAAACCCTGTGAACCACAGTGCTGTGGGCATGACTGAATTTTCCTGACAGCCGGAGTCATCTGTTGATTCATGACATGTGCGGGGCTCAAGAGCCTCACTGGAGGAGGAGTGATGCTGAGTCTCTCTGAGCCCTTGCTGAACTAGGACACACAGATGAAACTTCAAGCTGCTCGCAGGTCTCACCTCCGGGCTGAGACCCTACAAGAGACCCTACAAATACACACACAGAAGCCCCAAGCATTTCAAGAGGGTATTGAGGTGTTTCAGCCTGGACAGGGGGGTGCTGGTGCCCTCACACTCAGTGCAGCACCCAGAGGCACTTCAGCCCTGCACACTGTGCCCCAACTCACCCAGCACAGCTCTGGGACTAGGAGGGGTTACAGCCCTCACTTGAGAGTGGACTGCAAGGACCACTGGCAACCTGAGGGGACTGCAAGGACCGGTGTTACCAGTGGGGTCTGAGAGGAGGAGTAGTTACATGAGGTGGAACTGTAAAGTCCTATAGGGACTTGGTGGGGGTGGACCTGCGGTCACCTGGGAAGACTGTAAGAACCAACTAACAAAGGGAGTGACAATATCAAGGAGGCAGCAGTTGTGACCTCTGCTACAGCAGGCAAGGAAGTGGAGGGAAAAAAAACCATGAGGTCAAGCACATTCAATAGAGAAAAGGAAGAGCCAAAGCAAAATTTCTGGTCCACTGCAACAGTGGGAGAGATGTGGGGGGAAATATGTGGGGGACGAACACCTCTGAGCAAAGTCAGGTGCTGCACCTGCCCTACACGCTACTCAGCCACCAGTGATAGCTCATGCACAAGGCAGAGACCTGCTAATGGCCTATCAGCTGCTCAGCAAGAAGTGACCAAAAGTCACCCTTATAGGGGAGGACAAATGGTCACCCCATAGCACTGCAAGGACAAAAGCCCCCTGCCCCTTTCCCCCACTTCCCTCATTTCCCCCATGGCTGTGCTTTGCCATCCCACCAGCCAAGCAGCCTCCTCTGACCCCAGCAACTGGTGGCCCTACTGGCAGGGATGTGGCCATTGTGGTGGCATGGCTGGACATCCCCTGGGGGTGCCGAGGTGAGCTGCTGGGGAAGTTGGTGCCATTTCTGGGCCTGCCAGGCCACCACAGCATGCCAACTTCTCTGTGGGACAGCTCCACAGAAGGGAAGGGGTTTGGTGTCCTTGTCTCTCCAAGCCTGACTCAGTGTCTTGGGGTGCTGGAAGTCAGCCCACAGCAGCCCCATATGGGCCTTCCCCATGTTCCCACCACAGCTTAGGACACCTGAGATGGAGTCATGCAGCAGACTTTTTCTTCTCCTTCTTTTCCTCTCCTTTTTCCCCAGAAGTTCTGCCGGGTCCAGCACTCAACCTGAGCACCAAGGTGCCTAATGCTGACCCAAAGCATCACTTCTCCACTGACAGGACCATGGCTGTCTTTGTCCGCCCACAGCTATAACCCAAAACCATCATCAGCTGCATCAGTGCCCATGCACCCTACAGGAACAGGGACAGTGGTGACACACCATTAGTGTGGAGGACAAGTAAGGGGGACACAGACTGGGTCCTTGAGCATCCATCTTCTCCTTGTGCCTTTTCCTGTGCCTCCCTTTCTCTGCCCTCTCCTCCTGGCCAGGGTGTCCCCACCTGTCGTGGTTTAAAACCAGGCAGACAGCTTGTTCACTCACTTCCCCCCCCTTCTTGCCCTCCCCAACCCGACCAAGCACTGACTGATACCTCCTCCAACCCTGCAGTCTACCAGCCCTTCCGGCTAACTCCCAGTTACATCCTGGGCATGACGTGCTGTGGTATGGAATACCTCTTTGGCTAGCTTGGGTCTGGTGTCCTGTCTCTGCTTCCTCCCAGCTTCCCCTCCTCCCTGGCAGAGCATGAGGCTCACAAAGTCCTTGGCTAAAGCAAAACATCGCTATCAGCTCTGTTCCCAGGCCAAAAGTCAAAACACAGCACTGCACCAGCTACCACGAAGGAGAAACATGACTGCTACTGATGAACCCAGGACACCACCCCAGCCTCTCACGATACTTGGTGCTCAAGACCTTAGTTCAGCTTTCCTCCAGCCCACGTGACCCCAGCCCCCACCAGTAGGAGGCTCCCAGCTCAGGACCTCTGGGTTCCCCTTGATGTGTCTGCACCAGTCCCATTGGTGGGGAGCTGCCGCTGTGGGTGCCGGGCTGAGTGCAAGGGTAGGACGCTGCAAGTTCTTCCTCTTCCCACAGTCATTGTTTGTGCTGCTTCAGCCTTGCTGCCTGCACCATGCAGTCCTGTCATCTCTTCCTCTTTCTTCTGCTCCTTCTCCCTGGGATGTGGGCAGACCCAGAGGGTAAGTGAGCACCCCAGCTCACCCGAACCACATTCATCCCCCCACACAGCCAGGCCACCAGGCCACTGTCCCTTGTATAGCGTGGATGATCCCCAGCACCAACCCCCCCCCCCCCCCCCCCCCAACTGCACAGCACCCAACGGTGCCCTGTTCCAGACAACCTTCTCTATTCCTGCCTCCAGTTCAGGGCTTCATGGCACACTGGCTCCAGCACAGAGGCTTGGATACTCAAGCAGAAGTGAGGCCAGGGGTCCCCAGTCAGGCCTGGGTGTTGGGGTTCTCCCAGTAGTGCCTTTCTCCTTCAAGGAGCCTGTGGGTGCCAAGGGTGTCTCAGCCCTACATGGTGCTGTGGGCCTCTTACAGCAGACCCTTGTTTGTTGGGGAGCTGCACCTTCATAAGTGTGTTTCAGGTGCTGCTGTCACACACAGCATTTCCCCACAGCCCTGTGAGAGCTCACATTTCTGACGGTGAACAGCAGTAGACATGAGAATGCAGGATTGATCTCTGGGCTGGGCTACTCTCCTGCACCTGTCAGTGTTCTGTGTCCTTAAGCTATTGATGCTGAGAGCCCCCAGACTTGTACAAAATGTCCTTTTCCATTCTCCATCCTCTACATCCTCTGTGCTGTGTGCAGGTGTCTGGCAGATAAGGGTCCTGGCATGGGTGCTTCTTCTGGGGGGAGTATCACCCCAAACAAGCACTGATGTACCCCCACCATCTGCTCTGCACAGCCAGACAGCAGGTGCTGGGCAGGAGGGAGGAGGGGCTGGAAGAGGATGAGGTGCCTGAAATCATGTATGGGAGAGATACACCTCATTGAATGTGAAATAGGGAAGAAAAAAGAATAGTGGAGGCAGAGGAAGTTCAGACAGAAAAGTAACTCTGAGCAGGCTGAAGAGGTACACTTCACAGAATAGCATATGCTTTATAGAATCATAGAATAGTTTGGGTTGGAAGGGATATTAAAGGCCATCTAGTCAAATCCCCTGCAATAAGTAGGGACATCTTCAACATGCTCAGGTTGCTCATAGCTCCATCCAACCTACCCTTGAATGTTTCTGGTGATGGAGCATCTACCACCTCTGTGGGCAACTTCTGCCAGTGTTTCACCATCCTTACCATAAAAAATCTCTTCCTTATATCTAGTTTGAATCCCCTGTTTCCACTTCAGCCTCCCCACTCATCTTTCCCATCCCCACCCTCTTTCCCAGCAGAGCCACAGTTTCTTCAGCTGCTCCACACCAGTGTCTTCACCATCAGCTCTGCTGACGTATCAATGGTGACTCTCCTGGAGGATGTGGCCATCTTGGCACTGGATCCTGGCAACTGGAGCATCCATTTCCATTGGCCCTGGGCCAGCCAGGCAACAGCTGAGGGTGATGCAGAGAAGATCAAGTCCCACTTAAAATTCTTTCTGCGCAATTTCATCCAATATGTGCACAAAACGGCCCAGCAGGTGCAGCTAGACTGTGAGTATGGGGACAGCCTCAGCCAGAGCCCCAGTCCTTTTCCCTGGGTTGCGGCTGTGTCCTCATCTCCACTGGGGTGGCACTTGTGGAGTCTCATAGGGTTGAACAACTCCTGAAAGGGTAATGGGAAATGCTGCGGCTGCCAGGGCACATGACCAGCAGGGCTGGGCAGGACAGCATGCCAAAAACACCCCTCATGCCTCCTGCTGTCTGTCATGGAAGAATGCCTCTGTGCACTGTGGAATGGCCACCAAATCTACTGGGGCTGCCAGACCCACACAGCACAGATCAGGGAAAAAGAAATTTGAGGACAAATATTTGGGAGGACAATATTCTGTTTGAGCAAACATCCCGCACTAATTGTGCCTGTGTCCACTCCAGCCTTCCAAGGGCACTGAGGGCTTGCAGCGTTTCCTGGGGCTTTCTGAAGCATGGTCCCATGCCCTCCTGCCCATTGCACCCTGCTGCCATCACACACTGCTGCTCATCACACCCCATCACACCCCTGCACATGACTCCAGCCATACCCAGCTTTGTGCACCCATGTACCACACACTCATGGGACTTTTCTTCTGGCTCTGCAGACCCATTTGTAATCCAGATCCGTGCAGGCTGTGTGCTGCACCCCAATAAGACAAGCCGGGGCTTCATGGATGTCGGAGAAGGTGGCAGAGACCTCATTTCTTTCAACGTGGAGAGGCAGCACTGGGAGCCCCAGCGGCCATCCACCCTAGCAGAGCTGACCAGCTATGGCCTCACCAGCAAAAAAGCCATCACAGTGTTGCTGGTACACCTCCTCTCCACCTTCTGCCCGAGCTACATGCTCACCCTGTGCAACTACGGAAGGGCTGATCTGGAGAGACAAGGTGAGACCGCCCTGACCCTGGCACCCTGGCACGGCCACCACAAAGCCCCACACACACACTGCAAACAAGCGTTGTTCCACCGGGGCTCCCCCAACCCCTTTGCTCTTGCCCTCCAGAGCCTCCCCTGGCCACAGTCTTCGCCCACACGCCCAGCCCAGCCCAGCTCCTGCTGGTTTGCCGTGTCACCGGCTTCTACCCACGGTCAATCAGCGTGGCGTGGCTGCGGGATGGCCAGGAGGTGCCACCAGGCCCGGCTCTCAACACCAGTGCCATCCTGCCCAATGCTGACCTCACCTACCAGCTCCGCAGCGTCCTGGCTGTGTTTCCCCATGACGGGCACAGCTACGCCTGCCGTGTGCGCCACCACAGCCTGGGCACCCGCACCCTCCTCATCCCGTGGGGTAGGTAACACCCATGGGGACAGGAATGGAGCACAGGTTGCAGTTAGCAGCCACTGGCCCTGCGAGGGGCAGCTCCAGCTTGGTGCTATCACAGTCACAGAGCCACCCTCTTCTCTTTCTGTCCTAGAAAACCTCAGCACAGCTCCAACGGTCAGCATCATCATCACAGTGCTGCTCCTTGTGGCCATAGCCTTTGGTGGGGTGGTTTGGTGGTGGAAGTGCAGGTGAGGTCTCCCTCCCCGCAGCTGCTCCTGCGGTCATGGGAAGTTGGGGAAGGCCAGGGGTTTCAGCAGTAACAGCTCTACACAGATGAATCTTCCCAGTCCTGAGTTCACGGTGCCTCCCTCCTTGCAGGAAAGGTGCCGAGGCCACATGGGAGACCCAGGAATTCACTATTTGAGACCTGGCTGCCTGCCCAGCAATGATATCCTCACTACCAGCTCTCCATGCTTATGTCCCATCCCTGATGCATCAGCAACAACAGGGATTTGCTCTGGAAAACCACTATATTAAACAAACTTCCTCAGCTGCACATGGCTCCTATGGCTCTCACTCTCCTTCCCCCTCATGAGGTCACCCGAGCAAACCATCCAGTGAACCTCAGAGACCCCACATTATGGCCAGGAAGACTATCCCTTTTTGTGGACACTGGCCGATTTCCCTGGCACATCAGGAGGAGCAATTCATCTGCCAACCTCTCCCACATCTCGGCATCCCTGTGGACAGTGTCTGTCCCTAACCCTGACCCAGGCCAAACCAGTGTGGGGACACTGAGTGGCATGGGGGATGGAGCAGGCCACAAAACGGAGAGATGGAGGAATCTGAGCTGTTTCACTGGGGACAGAATGGGGAGGGGAGGTCCCAAGTGGCATTTCCAATCTCCTGACACGGGGAGGTGTTTCAAGCAGTTGCAAAGCTGCTCCAGCTACAGTGCTGATCTCATCCTCTGTCCAGGTTGGTCTTGGGTTGGGATCTCCTCCACTCCTGACTCCTGCCCCTGCAAAAGCTGGAGTGATGGGGAACAGTCACCCTCCCAGTATGCCTGACGCCTATGAAAAGCCATGCTGAGGCTCTAGGGGACTCTGTATTTGAGTGACATGCTCCCAAGAAGGGGGTGCGGCAGGTTGACCTTGGCTAGCTACCCACCAAGCTGCTTTATTACTGCCTTTCCTCAACTGGGCAAAGGAGGAGAAAATATGACAAAAGGCTCATGGGTCAAGATAAGGACAGGGAGGTCACTCAGCAATTACCATCACAGGCAAAATAGACTTGGCTTAAGGAAATTAACTTAATCTATTGCCAATCAAAATCAGAGTAGGATAGTGAGAAATAAAAACAAAACTAAAACCACCTTCCTCTCCCTGCTGCCCCTCTTATTCCTGAGCTCAACTTCACTGTTCACTTCTCCACCTTCTCCTCCCAAGCAGTAGAGTGGACTTGGAGAATGGGGACTGCCATCTGTTTATTATGCGTTGTCTCTGTTGCTCATTTCCCTGTTCCAGCATGGTGTCCCACCCGTAGCAGACGGCCGTTCATAAACTTCCCCATCATGGGTCCTTCCCATTGGGTGCAGCCCTTCAGGAGTGGACTGCTCCAGCACAGGTCCCCTGTGGGGTCACAGTTCCTGTCAGAACATGTGCTCCAATGTGGGGTGCTCTTCAGAGGACCACAGGTATTCAAACTCCCAGAGCCACATGTCCTCTTTCATGGACAAACAACTCAAAGGGTAATCATAGATTTGGGAGCCCTAGGGCTGGGGCTTTCATGAAGGTCTATTTAATGCCATCAAAATTTCCCCTGAATTCCGGAGTCCATTCTAGCAGTTCTTCAGCACCTTTGGTTGCCGCATGTAATGGTTTTGCAATTAAACCAAAATTTGGAATGCAAAGGTGACACGATCTGGCCATTCCCAGAAATTCCTTTAGTTCTCTTTTAGATTGCAGGGAATGTAGGGGAAGTAGAGGAGTTGTCTATAAATGGCTTCTTTTCTGTCATTTCCCAGTTTTTGTGGTCCCTGGGAAATCTCAAATCTGAGATAAATTACAGTCTGTTTTGCAATTTGTACTTTCTTTTCTGACAATACCCAACCGTTCATGACAAATTTAGGAGACTAACAGTCTTTTCTTTACATATTTCAGCAGTATCTACCCCTAGCAGAATATCATCAGCATACTGCAGGAGGGTTATTTGACTTTCCTTACCCAGCCAGTGATCCAGCTCCTTAGTCAGGATTGCTCTAAAGATGGTGGATTCAATACAATCTGGCAGAGCTGAGTCCTCTTCCCAGTCAATGAGTCCTCTCATTCAAAGGCAAAAATCTTTTGACGGCTTTTGTCCAAAGGTATGCAAAAGAAAGCATCTTTTAGGTCTAAAACAGAGAAATATGCATTTGATTTTTTAATAGTGGTTAACAATGTAGATGGATTAGGGCCCAGTGGGTTCATGTCCTCTACTAATTGATTTACTGCTCTCAAGTCTTGAACTGGTCTGTTATCTTCATTATGCAGCTTTTCACTGGAAGGATGAGAATATTATGTTTGGATTGACAATGTCTCATTTTCCTCATATTTAAGGAAATTATTCACTATTGGCTCCAAAGTTCTTCTGGCTTCCCTACTGATAGGGTGTTGTTTCCTTCTGACTGGCCAAACTCCCGATTTTAATTCAATTTTTACCAGTTCAGTATTTCTCGCTTTTCCCAATTTTTTGGTTGCCAATACAAACAGGAGTACCTGCATTCCTAACTTCTTCTGGAACAATTTTGAACTTCTCTGTTTTCTGTTTCTATCTGTAGTAAATGTATTTGATGTTGCCAAGCATTAGCTTTAGAGAAATTAACTTTCAGTTGGAACTTTCCGGTTTCAAAGTTAATTTGTGCTTCTAATTTATGTGATAAATAACATCCTAGAAGAATCATTGGGCACTCTGGTCAGTACGAAAAATCACGCATCACTGTCTTTTCTCCAGGTTTACATATCAATGGTTTTAAGAATGGTTTAACCTCTTGCTTTACCTGGGCTCCAACCACAGACGTATTTAACAAATTTACTCAAGAGTCCTTTACAAGTATTTATAACAGAATATTTTGCTCCCGTATCTACTAAAAACTTAAGAGTTTCATTCCCCAATTTTACTGAACCAGGGGCTCCCGTGGGAAGATCTCTTTTTCTGCCCTAGGTTCCCATCATTCATATTCAGTTTCCATCGTAAGTAAATCAGCTTCAGGAGGTAATTCCTGAGGCTTGCTAATTCTTTTATTTTTTGGACACTCATTTGTCCAGTGTCCTTGCCCTTTGCAAATGGCACATTGATTGATTCTTTGGGATCTTATCATATTTCCACATGCTATTCCGCCGCCTCTTCTTCCTCTCCCCTAGGAAATCCTTTACCTCAAGCTGACACATGGGCTTGGGCAAATGCAGCTGCCAAGATTGCAGCTTTTTGTTTTCTGTTTTTTAACTTCTCTTTTTCTATCACCTTTTTCTCTTCTTTTTCTCAATTGTTAAAAATTTTATTTTCAATGTCAGTCAATTGTGGTATGGTGACAAGTATCTCCTCCTGGGACTACAGCCTAGCAAAGACAACGTTTTACAGGGTTTTGTTGCTCTCAGGTTCCCCCTACTGTAGAGGACTAAAAGTATGGCTCACTCTGTCTTTCCCATTATGACTATTCCCAGTGTGTGGAGCTACTAACATTTGTACACCTTCATCACTCAATTTTAAACACCTTTTTTCAGTGCTACATGCTGAACAACAGCATGAATCTGTATCCCTATCATCACCTTCATCATTACATTAGAAACAGACCTTCACATTTTCTTTGAGTTTCACAATCATTTTTTACAGCAAAGAACAAATCAGCATAGGCTACTTCATCCCATTTGTCTTGATGTTGACAAAACAACATTAATTGCAAAATACTGTTATACCTTAATGACCCTTTCTCAGGCCATTTTTTCCCCCATCTTCCAACTTATATGTAAATAATGGCCACCATTTACTACAATATTAACAATTGCATTAACAAGCTGTTCCCTTGTTAATGCATCTCTTCCAAATTTTCCCCAGTGTTTCACAATACACCCAAGAGGAGAACAAGAATTCATTTTAGATGGCTGAGTTCCCATATTTTTACCCTCAAACAACATTTTGATACACAACTCCAGCTGTCACTGTCAAACGCACATGAATTTTATGTACTTTATCAACTGTTGTCCAAAAAGCAGATTTGTACCTGGTGTGCAGTAACCCTATTCCACATGCTCAGGAGATGCTGTGTTTATTCAGGCCTGGGTGATCAGTGGTCTGTTCACAAATCAAGCACACCAATAGGAAGTTTAGTCCTCTTTTATAGTCAAAACTCACACCCGCTACATACAGGAGACAATTGAGCTTTGCTCTCCCTTTCTGCCTTTTCTCCAGCACAGGCACTGCTTGCAGGTGCTCCCAGGTTTCAGGACATGCCTCCCACATAGGGATCACGGCAAGACTGCCTGGCACATGGATTTGTTGGAAAAAAAAAAAAAAAAAAAAGGAAAAAATCCTGTATCACAGAATCATAGAATGATCCTGTATCACAGAATCATAGAATGGTTACAGTTGGAAAGGACCTTAAAGATCATCTACTGTCAATCCGCTCCCCCACTGTGTCACGTTGGGGTGTATCACCAGTTTTGGGATGGTGATTGTTCATGTAAAGGTTTGATAGGGTTTTTTAATGCTGCATTGACAGCCCTGCAGAGAAGAGAAATGACCAACCTGGTGTGGAGAAAACTAGTAACTGTTTGCCCCGCCCTACCTTGTCCTCATGTTTGCACTGATTCTGTAACAAGACAGGAGGGGTTTTAAGAAAACTGCAGTGAAAACAGAGGTGGAAGTGCTAATTTCACCCAAGAAATTGACATTCTAGAGTTGGCAAAATACCTGTTGTTTTGTTTTATGCATGGGAGGATTTATTTCTGGGTTTAAAATCTCCAAAATGACATCTGAACAGTTTGTTTCTCTTTCCATATTTCTAAATAAATGGAAGTTTAGAATGAGCCACTGACTGAAAATAAAAACAAGCCTCTTATCTTTCTGTATCCTTAAATAGAAGGTGGGATGGACTGCATTAATCAAGCCTTGTTTGGAAGTCCTATGTAGTTTGGGTGTACTGGATAGGGAGACCTGATAAAGCTCTCCCTTCTTGAAAAATTTTCTGTTCCTCAGGAGTTCTTCATCAAGAAACAGAAACTTTTGATAAAAAATTGTCACAGGGAATTTCTTTGCTGGGCTCTTACTTTCTTTGTGCACATGAATCAAATTGTGATTTGCCAAGGCTTCCTCAAGACAGTTCCTAACCCCGTGGGTTCTTAGTGCACTGTAGTAAACAACAAAGTATTATGGCCCCTAAATATTTTCTGCCTTTGTCTGTATTTCACCATGAATGTGCTCTGATCTTGTATCTAAATTTTGTCCCATTAGAGTTAGACTTTTATTTTTTGGTCTTATTGGTCATGGCCTGCTGTCAACAGCTGCTAGATTTCACAGAAATTACAAAGGAGCAAAGAGGTTGCCAGAGCGTACATCATCTGCCCCACAACCTGCAAAGCACTGCACTTGTATACCATCTGCCAATTCAGCTCAGGGGTCCTGTTGTAAGGATTTTCCTGTACCATGGTTTATCACAGCAAGACTTCTAATTATTTGAGGAAACCAAGTATGAGCCCTGGTCATCTGTTGTTTTTTCTCCCTCTTCCCTCAATGCTGTGCCACTATAAACCACAGACACAAGGCATCAAGAGTGTACTAGCTTTGGGGAGAATCCTTCCTCAGTTCCTATGACTCTTCTTCCATATGGTTATATGTAGCAGATGTTCAGGCACTTGGAACCATTCAGCTGCATGAAGCGGCTTCTCTGTCATCAAGTATCCAAAACCATGCTGCTGAGATCAGTCTACTAAAACTGCCAAGAGACGCTCAGAAGTATGGTTTTCAAAAAATGCTTCCTGTGCTTGGCTTTACCAGCTGTCAGACTCACCTCATGCCTGGGAAGGCACATGAAGGACAGGGAGGTGATTTTAGACAGCCAGCATGACTTCACCAAGTCTCACCTGGCCAGCCTAGTGGCATTCTATGATGGAGTTACAACATCCGTGGACAAGGGAAAAGCTACAGATGTCATCTATCTGAACTTCTGTTAGGCTTCTGATATGGTCTCCCACAATATCACTCTCTCTAAATTGGAGAGATACGAATTGGATGGCTGGACTGTTCAGTGGATGAGGAATTGGTTGGATGGTCACATCTAGAGGGTAGTGGTCAACAGCTTAATATCCAGATGGAGAATGATGTCCCTCAGAGGTCCATAC